ATCTAATATTCTTCTCTAGGCTAAGTCCATATATAGATGAAATTACTGGGGATCATCAGTATAGGTTTCGAAGCAATAGATCAACTACTAATCAGATTTTTGCATTGATCAGTTACTGGAGAAAAAATTCGTGGTACAATGAGACAGTACATCAGCTATTCGCAGACTTCAAGGAAGACTATGATTAAGTTAGAAGGGAAGTATTGTGTAATATTCTCATAGAGTTTGGAGTATCTATGAAACTAGTCAGGGGATTAAAATGTGTTTAGACGAAACATATAGTAAAGTCTGTGTAAGTAAACACTTGTCTAATGATTTTCCTACCCAGAATGGTCTAAAACAAGGAGATGCTTTATGGCCAATGCTTTTCAACTTTGCTCAAGAATATGGCATTAGGAAAGACCAGGGAAACCAGGTGGGACTGAAATTAAACAGTACAATCAGCAGCTGGGTTATGCTGATGATGTAATTCTACTGGGTGTGTAATTGATTGATCAGTAACTGTCAGATGACAGGTCCACAGTCTCTTCCAAAACAGTTCCTCCACTTAATGTGATCTTCTGTTTTTGGAAAGAGACTGTCCAGGAAAAGTGATAATGTGGTAGTTTTTCCATTTGCTTTCCACATCGCAGTACAACTTTAATTGTCGCAAGTAAGAAGATTAGCATAGAAGTAAACACAGAGAAAACTAAGCATATGTTAATAAGATCTAAAAGTTTGTGACGATGGTACATTAGTACAAATATTATGTTTTTGGCATTATCCATTGTCCTGTTTTTTCTAAAACCATTTTTTTTCAAGATGAGGGACTAGCTCCATCGATTGGGCCAAACTGAGTAAGTTTTACCTGAAGACTGTCCCCGAAATGTGTTTGAAAAATAAACAAGACGGTTTTTAAATAAAGACAAGACGATGGATAATGTTCAAAAACATTATATTTGTACTAATTATATGTTTCTGTCTGGTCACCAAAATGAAGGGGGAACCAATGAAATAAAGATAAGTAACAGGTTTTCTTTAAATGTGGCAAAGGTCAGATATCTTGGAACGACTATAAGAAATTTAAACCTGATTCAGGAGGAAATTAAGAGGAGACTGAACTCGGGTAATGCTTGCTACCGTTCAGTCCAGAAGATTTTGTCTTCTCTTCTGCAGTCTAAAACTTAAAAATTATAATATAGTATAAAAGTATAATTTTCCCTATGGGTCTGTAAAGGTCTCTGACATTAAGAGTAAAACACAGACTGAGGGTGTTTGAGAACAGGGTGTTGAGGAGTCCAAAACACAAGAGATTCTATGCAACAGCACATCAATATGTGAAACAATACGTAAATGCGATGAACTCTGATCGCAATTCGAAAGATTCAAAATAAAAAGCAAAAGAAAGAAAAACAACTGGGAAAAAAGTGCAACGATGGAATGATTCTGTTTTGTAATTCCCATAACAGATGTCACTAGGTCTGTCTCATGTTAGAAAGTATGACGACGACGGAGATTTCAAGAAACTATAAATGGATTAAAATATTCCATTTAAGATAAGCAATTCTGAAACTGATAACGAACTCCATGTCCCTATCAGCACAATGTATACAACAAACCACGAAATGAAGTGCTCTTGTTTGAAGTTTATTTAACAATGCTGTATCATGTTCAATGACAGGATGATATAACGAATTGTTAAGGATGTGGACGGAAGGATTCATGATCTAATGAGAGGCGCTACTGTCCTGGAAGAACTGGGAGAAACCAGGGAAAACCTCAGTCAAGTCACTTGGTGTCCAGGAAGAAAAACAAACCGACCATTTCCCAAATACAGGTTTTTTTATTGCTAGTGGGGTGGGAGTAATTCCCTTGTACTGCGGCCACTTCTGGCCTATTGTACCAGCCCCAGATGATAAGTGAGGGTGATTGTGGAGCAATTCGTGGAATGAAGACTGGCAGGGGAAACCAGAGTACTCGGAGAAAAACTGCCCCAGCGCCACTTTGTCCACCACAAATCCCACTTGACCAGACCCGGGATCGAACACCTGCCGCCGCGGTGGCAAGCTAGCGACTAACCACTTGAGCTATGGCGTGTCCTAAATACAAGTTAGAAGCAATACCTCTTGAGTTTGGATAGCTCAATCACTATAGCGATGGACTGGAAATCAGGGGTCCGAATCCCAGTAGGGGCTAGAATTATTTCTCTACTTCACAACGTCAAACAGGAGCAGGAGCCCACCCGACCTGCTAGATAATGTACACCGGCGGATCTTTTCCCATGGGTGAAAAGGCCAGGGAGTGAATCTGAATATTCCCCTCCATCAAGTACTGAGGTGAAGAAGGTGAGAGCTCTATTTCCACTCACCGATACATCTTCGTGGAGTGGTGCTTAATTAATTACGTACAGAGGACAATTTTGTCTATATCCTTCCCTCTTGAGCCAAATCGCTCTGTATAAATGAAGGAAGATACAAAATAACGATGACAATGAAATGAAATATCTCCTCTATAGTCATGCAGATGTTATATTGGCCTAATACTACGATCCTACTCAGGGAAAATGTCGATTTTCACATGATGGACTATTTTATAAATGAAATGTTTTCAGACAATTGCCAGCTCCTGACGTCACAGTTTAAAATGTCGGACACTTCATTCCGTAAAATTAGCTAATTTTTTTTTTTCAACGGCACGTCCTGCCCTTGAGGTCCCAGGCCTTTTATTCAGTTCCGTAATCAAATTTCTACAACATTTCGAACAAAGAAAAGTAAAACTTCTACTAGAAGATAAACGCATCATCTACTATAATAGATACGTAGATGATATAATTATGATTTATAACCGATCAAAAATAACACCCCAACACATTTTAGATCAATTCAACAAGCAAAATAAAAACTTGCAATTCACACTAAATGAAGAGCAAAATAATCAAATAACGTACCTAGACTTAAAACTAATTAACAACCACGGGCAAGTAAGAATGGAGATATTCAGAAAACCCACAACGACAGACACAACGATAAACAATAAATCTTGTCACCCCAAAGAACAAAAATTGGCAACATACAAAAATTGGCTACATAGATTAACCATCCTACCTATGGATAACACAGCAAAAAATAAAGAATTAAACACAATTATTAACATCGCGGAAAACAATGGATACAATAAAGAACTCATCACACGAATGTATCATAAACTTCAACAACAAAAAACAAGTGCTCCCATTGAAAGAAGAGAACAGAAATGGGTATCCTACACATATAACGGAAGCTACACAAGAAGAATCACGAAACTATTTAAAAATAC